TTTTTTATAATGATAAATTTTATTTCACATGACCAAATAATATTAAAGTATTGTATCCAATGCATTTCTTGATATTGGATTAAACACTGAAAGATAAAGTGTCGTTGATGACTTCATTAATAAATCAAATGCATTTCTCAAAGGTCGTTCTTCGATAATTTAATCTCTACAAAAATACATATATTTTTTCAATGCTTTATAAACTTTACATCTTTTTCCCACCTTTTCTTTGTTACCGAATTTCATATTTCCAAAATATGCTTCAAAATTAACATTCCACAACTCCGATTCAAGTTTATCAATAGTAAATGTTGCAAAAAAATCTTCGATAGTTATATTTTCAGCTATAAAAGTGCCTTTGTCAAATAAAATAGAATATTTGTGATTTTAATCTTACTATGTCTAATATATGAGATTTAATGTTTTAGTACGTTCATTAAATGCCAGTTGTTTAGACATGTATAAATTAAAATATTTTTTTTTATGTAATGAAGTTAATATTCACATTACCAAAGAATAATTCAAAACTTTGACAAGGAATGTAACAAATTGTAATTCGAGAACGTATTGTATGCACGTTTTCATTTTGTAAAACATCATGTAAACAAGTGTATTAATTTCTACAATATAATTTAGTCTTTTATTATTTCTACTTCGAATTAAACTTGGGATTTTACTCTTTAGATTTATACGTCTCAATATTTCCTAATTTCGTAAGATATAGTTTTATTCTAAAGCGAGGGCAGTATTTACAATGGAGTAGAATTTTAGAAAATTTATATCAAACGAAATTGAGGTAAGTTAGCCTTTATATATGAATTCTATATACGTAACAAATTTATAGTGTATGTATTACGTCTTCCTCTGCAACGTTGATTATTCTCATATTGAGATTTTGAATGTATATTTCGAGATTTATTATATAACCTTGAAATTTTACCATTAACCTTAAAAAAGTTGGCCCACTCACTGAAATGCTCTTTTTTCTAGGGAATCATTGTATAAAATACATAAATTCTTGAAAACATCTTCATAGAACTATAGAACTTAACGTCAGACAGTGATGGCCATTGATCTGGTCATTTAAGAATGATATCATGTGATCTCAATAATTCTGGCCAAATTATTTTTGTAATTTAATGTCAATGAATATTTCACGTGATATAAATTTGTAATTCTGGTCATCATATAAATTTAACCTGTATTATATTTAAATGACCCAAATGACAAACGAAACCAAATATTAGCTAACAAAATATTACGTAGTATTTGTTGCTGTATTCTTTACGATTTTTTTTCGTGAGCGCTGCACGGAAATCTCAAGATAGTTTTATAATTTTGAATATAATTAATAATCTTATAGTGAAAATCTGGCAGAATTAAAGAATGGTTTTGACCGACCGGATAATTAGAGCATCGGCTAAACTTCATTACTTAATATCCTTTAATAGTTTTATGTAACCGTTGTACAGAAAAAATTTTTTGGACCGTGTAACGCACAAATAAATGAGCCCAAAAACTGAAATAACCCTAATAACCGAACAGCATTTTTTTTTTAAATCTATTGGACAACTTTTAATGTTTCCTTATTTTTGTACAAACTTTTTTTGCCTTATCTGTTATGATTTCTGTATGTTTGTTACGTTGTTACGTTCATTTTTTCATTTTTTTTTCATTTTTTTTAGAAAATCGAATGATTTGGAATTTGTGATGCAGTAATGACATATTCAATAAACGAACGTTCCCCAAATAATTAAATTGTGACATAATTTTTAACAGATTGTGTTTAGAAAATATCTGATTAAATTGTTATTATACATGAAAGCCACGTTCCCACCTATCGCAGATCTTAAATGAATTGTAACACCCATAACATTGCTGCTTCCATGAAAATGTGCGTTCAATTATAGATGTCAATAATTCGCAGATCACACGCACAAAAAAAAAAAAATTTTTTAAAAAAAAAGGAAAAAAGAAAAAGAAAAAAGAAAAAAGAAAAAATAAATTGATCAGAAAAGGAATTTACATATATCGACTATTATGCGATAAGCATCGTTTGAAATTGATTTTATGCCAAAGTTAAAACTTTAGTACCTTTTTTAGATAAATCAATTCAATAACCTTTTTTACGTGCCGCGTATCTCCGAAGAAACAGAGTGGATAAAAACCCCTGCATGAACGGTTTACAAATCTTTGGAAATGATCAAATGATCGGCAGTTTCGGACATTAAAGAAACTAAATCGAAAGTACCTGTTTAGTAAAAAAAGTTTTCTAAACGAAAAAAAAAAGATTTCATTATTAAAGAAAACCCATTTTTAATCGGCACTTAATGATGATAATCTTAATCTTTTTATTTGAACAAAAAAAAATTAAAATCTCTGTATCACTTAATTTACTTTGATCGATCGTGTAAAAAAAAAAAAAATATAACCGAATTTATGTAACATCAAATTCGAACATCCATCTTGGAACCTTGTTTTTTTTACACAATGCATTATTAATTAATTACAGAAACAATATAGAAATGGTTGATTAATAAGCCCATCTCACTTATTTCATACCCACGTACTATTGTTAATATGGGAACCTTCCTTGCTAAAGAGCGAATAAATAAATCTAATAAATCTAGTAAATCTAATAAAATTCCGCCTAGTTCGAGCTCGACTGACATTGATAAAGAAAAGTTCCGTTATATCGAAGGCAGAAGGTTTAATAACTTTCAAACTTCAAAATATGTTCTTCCAAATGATGATGAAGAATGCGATAGGTTACATATGCAACACTTTCTGATGAGATACGCTTGGCAGGGTAACTTTGCTTCTCCCGTTGAACAAATATTGACAGGTGTTGATTCCAAAGTCCTTGATGTTGGGTAGGTATCAATTTTGAAGCTGTGATGACATCATATTGGGTCTTTCTACGAGACATTTCACAATTCCTCCAAAAATTTCATTTTTAAAAAAGATGTGGCGCTGGTTCCTGGTCATTTGAAGTAGCAACCATTTATCCGAATGCTAAAATTATCGGCGTAGACATCTCACCCGTTCAGCCTTCAGGAATTAAGCCAAAAAACTTTACCTTTTTTCAAGCAGACATTACTGATGGGTTACCGTTTGCCGATGAAACTTTTGATTTTGTATTCCAACGTTTCTTGGTTGGCTCAATTCCAAAGGAAAAATGGTTTTCTGTTATCAAGGAACTAACTAGAATGTTAAAACCCGGTGGTTATCTGGAGGTAAGAAGGATGTTGAAATCTTTAGAATTCCTTTACTTAATCTAATTGTTCGTTCTTTTTTTCAACAGCTGGTGGAATTTGACATATTAGCTGAAAGTTTAGGTCCAACTTCATATATAATCTCAAATGCTTGTACGATTTATTTTTTATTTCCTTATTTTTACTGTCATTTTTATGTTTTTATTGACATTTTAAAGTTTATAGTGACCAACTTATGCGATCAACGAAACCTTGAAACAATAATGGTTCCAAAGTTAAAATCTTATTTTGAGCAACAAGGACAATTTGAAGATATTAAAGATGAAATTAAAAATATACACGGAGGCACAGCAGAAGGTAAACTTGGTTTAGCGGTATGTACTAAAGGTTTTTAAATATATTCATGATCCTGAATTCCATTTCTGAAATATTTGATTTTCTTTATTATACATAGTATAATGACGATGTGATGAGACTTTACGAAAATGTTAAAGTCTTGTTGGCACCATTTATGCAAGTTTCTCACAAAGAATATGATCAAATGATAAAAACAACAAAAGAAGAATGGTTAGAACGAAATAGCTACACGCGTTTCATTCGTGTACACGCTAGAAAAATCTAAATTGTCTGTATATCGTATTGAAAAAAAAAAAAAATTAAGTCCGGAAAACCTCGAGCCGGGAAATGGTGATCTTCAAATATCAAAAAAATTGTCTCAAGCTATATAAGATTTATCGTATTGATTAAGTTAATAACTTTTCGTATCAGAATTAATTTATACATAATATGTAATGAAAATTTTTTAAGTTGTTCAATCAATCACCCATATTCTCCTTTGTTTCTTCATAATTGTAAAAATTACGCAAAATAGAATATAATTAAGCAAAATGTTGTAAAATTTTAAATTTTCTCAATACTTTCTTTTTTTCTTTTGAGGAATTGAATAAACTACATTTTAAACATATTCATTCAGGTACAAATTTTGTAAAAAAAAATAAAAAAAAAAATTGGTTACACAATTTCAAAAAAAAAAATGACTTTAATATCAAATCAAATTTTGGGTATACTTTCGAAATCCATTCCTATATATTAAACTTAAATCGCTCTATTCCACCATCAAAGAATTTTTCGACATTGAAACAAAAAAATATTATTATGGACGAGAAAAAAATATTTTGTGCTCATTTTACCTTTTAAATTACTATTAGATTAAATTATTATGAAGCGGAGCTTAAGTAAATTGCTTTAAATTTTCTTAAATACTCAAAATCCTAATTAATAATTATTCCAATTGTTTTTTTTAAATTAAATTATGATTTACTGTTGAGAAATGTGATTTATTCATAATAATACAATCATACAATAACCTGTGATCAGATTGAAATAAATTTATAATTGTAAGTATCTTGTGTAAATGATAATATTATAAACTCAATATTTTGTCTTTTAAAAGTGAGTATTTTTCATGTATAATTAATTTTTAACCAAATTTTATTCAGAGCGATCTGTTACACAGATATTGTACCATTTTATCTAAATATGAAATGATCACTGGAGCTAGCTATTAAAAATCAGGTTAACAGGACAAAATGAGATTTTTTGATTCATATTATTATATGATATATGAACTATATTTGGTTAAAATAGTCGATTATCTTATTAACAAAGCAGTCGAACATCAAACCAAAAAAAAAAAAAAAAAATAAATGAACACAAATTTGGAAATGATCGACATTCTTATTTCAATTTAACAAATTAAAAAACTTTCGAACACGTTCAATCTAAAGAATAAATATTTTCACGCATGTTTATAATATTTACTTAAACTCACCTTTTGGCCGGATGTCAAAATGGCCAAAATTGATTTATAAGGTCTAACTTAAAGTGATATCGATAAAATAACCATAGTTAGTAAATATATAATAATTATGCATTTTTATAGGACTTTGATTTTAAGAACTTTGTTTTTTTAAAAAAAAAATATTCTTTTATTTTCGAAACTTTAAGATTATTTCATTTTTTTTTTTTTTTTTTTGAAACTATAAAAGATATTTATCTGAAAAAGATAAGATGATCTAAACTTAATTTTGCAGATCAAATTCTGGAAATCATATTGAAGTGAACATATATTTTCCTGGAAATTATAATTTTTGCAACATTTGATACAAGCAACTGAAAAGAAAACGACAAAAGTATTCTGAGCAATCCAATTTCAGGGATTAGATTTATCGGGAGAAGGACGCTAAAATTATATTTACCGCAAAATCAGAGATATCATCATGGGTCACCGCGGAGCCGCAACCCTGTGTTATCGGCGAATATTTCATGTTTTCATGGTTATTAACGTTAACGCTCGTGATAAATAAGGACACTTAATAGATCACGTGTTTTTGACAATAAATAAACTTACACAATTTAATATTACCTTAGCTCTAAATAATCCACTTTTACAATCTAATACATTTAAAATATAGAAATTTAAAAAAGAATTTTATTTTATCACAGAAAAGCAACGAAATAATTGGCGACATGTCAACTTTTATTTTAACTAGATTTTATTTAGCCATGAATACTTAAAAAATAGTTAAACCTATTATTATAAAATGTTATTAGTAAATAATATTCCAAAATTATCAATTATCTATCAATTTGAATAAAAATACATTCAATATGTTTGAAATTGTGCAATGTTAATTAAATTCATTGATAATTAAATTCCATACGATTTAAAATTATACCAGGTATTACGATTAACAATTAGTAAACGGAAATATTTAACGTTATCTATAAATGTTTATTTACGTAACCAACATCCAATAAAATTAAAAGGTTCATAAATTCAATCCTATTCTGATAAAAAGTTCTATTTTTCAAACAAGTAACTATTTCAATTCATATTATATAACGAAATTGTTCGAAATATAATTTTTATTTTTCATAATTATTGCATTTTCAGTTGGCAGAGAAACATTCATTGATTACCCGTGAGGCTGATTCTGATGAAGATATTACGGATGGACTTGAAAAAATTCATTTATCATGAGAAAGCTTTATTTACTTTATTTATTTCTGATCTAATCAAAAGTTTTTTTTTTGAAATCGAGTTATGTATATGGTGTACGAGGGTGCGCTATACATTTGGTTAAGATTTTTTGTTTTAATCGATTTCATACTATATAAAGTTCAAAATTAATTTTCAGTTAGAATGATTTAATTTATTAATTTATATTTTACTATTTTATTAGATTTTTTTAGGGTTTCCAAAAAAAAAAAAATATGTATTTTACATTAGTTAAAAAATTTTCAATGAGAATTTGGAAAATTATAAAATTATTTTATAATTTAAAAAATGAATGCAGTTTATGGTTATATTTACGTTTGTGACTTGTCGATTTGGTGGAGATTATGTTTTTGCAAACAGTTTTCTTTTATAATAAAGTCTTGGGTTAATTCATCTACAACAAATGTAGGGACTTTGCGACAAATTATATATAAAAACTTATACGAACATTCATTTCTAAATAAACTTCGTTTGCTTCAAGCAAGTTTGAAAAAGAAATTTGACGATTGGGCCTAGACAACATAAGGCTCAAAAAAACATGTCAATTGAAAATATACAGACGTCACAATTTTGAATATGTAAAAAATTGCTACGCAAATATTTATAAAAAAAAAATTTAAAATCAATTTTACGTAAAATTTGTAAAACCAGATTGTATCAGTACTAGTATAAAAGAATGCTGAAAAGCTTATACCATTTTATATGCTTATTTTTTGCGTTAATTGAATTAACAAAAGATATTTCTGATGACGAAAATATTTTATTCCCGCTAATATTATACTAACTTAAAAAGGTTAAATTCATATTTCAATAATTAATTATTTTAGACGAGTTGGATTCACGTTATTTTTTTTTTTTTTGATAATCGTTTCGCTTCACTTGTCATGCATATTCTTATTTATTTTTATTTTTTTGATTATAAGCGATGGTGGTCGCCTCAGGCATACCTAGTTTCTACGATCATCCTGTAATTGTTCTCAAGATAATGTTGATTGTAATATTTCGGAAGGAGCAGACTTCTATTTTCTAAATTGATTTATTGTCTATAAAAATAATTAATAAATAAATAAATAAGTTTAAATTAATAAAATTTACGAAAAGCTTATACATGCTTACAAACTTGAGGAGGCAACATCAAAAGTTTCTGTTTGAGATGATTTTTTTTTTGTCGTACAAATGATCTTTAAACGTGTAAATGATATTTTCAACTTATTAAAAATATTGATAAAGGGTAATTTGGTTTTTGAATTAACCAACAACGATTTTAAATCTAAAACAAGGTCCTAAGAAATATCTATTCAACAATTTAATTATACGATTCTTGTGTAGTTGGTTATTATATTCAAGTCTATATGGAGACACGATAAAGGTTGAAAGTGTAATGGTGGAATTTATTATTTCAAGATTACAGACGTCTTTATCAAGATTCATCTAACTTATTCTTTGATCAAAGCGGATTTTCTGAAAAATTTCTAAATTCTAACTTTTTCTATTTAAAATAATATAACGAAGATATCAAATATAATATAAATAATTAATATAATGAAATAAAATAACAATATACAATTGTAATAAATCTATAATAAAACAAATGTAAAAACGAAAACTATTATAATTATTTTAGCAAATATAGGTTTTAACAAATAACAAATATAAAATGATATTTTTGATATTTTCGCCATTCATAAATGCCGTTTCTTACAACACGGACTTTAAGCAAGAATTTATAAATTTTAAACAAGTATTACATATTTCTTATTTTTCACTTTATCTCAAGTGAAATTACTCTAAACGTGATAGTTACACACAATTTTTTTAATTATATAGATTTTGTTTTAATTTTTAAATATAATATATTAAATTGAATTAATATCATTAGAGATTAAGTTTGGATTACAATTAAGTTAGTTTCATTTAGATTTGATTAGGATTATTAAATAATAAACCTTTTATATATTTGAATAGTTTTAGGTAAAGTTTAGATTATATTCAATTCAAGGTTGAATTAGAATTATAGTTGATTAAGTTTTTATAATTTTAAATATATATATTTTTTTTAATTTTTTAATTTTAAATATTTTTTTTAGTTATATCAATTAATTTATTTATTAATTAATTAATCGATTTAATTTAATTTTTAATGATTTTTTTTAATAAGCTGTTTTTATTTTTTGAATTTTAATTAATATTTGGATTTTGTATTTAATTAATAACTTTTTTAATTTAATAATTGATTTTAATAGTTGATTTTTTTAATTTAATTTAATTTAATTTATTTATTTATTTTAATGATTAAATTTAATTGTAATTTTTTTTTATACAGCTACAGTCAACACTTTCTATAACGAATTTTGAGAATTTCACAATACAACGAAAAATCTTGTTACACAAGTTAAATGCTGTATAACATTTAATGAATTAAAAAGTATTAACACAGCATATATAAATGATCCTTTTTATTACGAATTTATTTATAACGAATTTTTTCAAAGATGTGAGAAATTAAGAGTAAATCATTTTGACTACAAAGGACAATTCAACATTTATCTTTTTCTCAAATATAGTAAATATATTGTACATTCTTTAATATTAAATGAATTAATAATAATGAGTTTTCACGTTTCGCGTTTGTACCTTGTAAACAAGTTTCTTTTCTGTAGAGAAATTCAAATTACTGTATCTACAGTATTTTCTCGTTTAGGAATAACTTTGGGGCAATGAAAATGATCTTTCATTAATAACTAAAATCGTGATACCAGGAACAGAAAACCGGTGTTAAGTCCGGACATATCTATCACTCCGGACTAATGAAATGTAATGATAAACATCATTCGGATGTGACTTCAAATAAACTCCGAAAAAATTATCTGTAGAATTTCCAAAACAATGCATAATAACAGGCGTTTGCATGATAATTGCATATCGGATCAACGTTTCTTTGTATTTTTGAAAGATTAATAACAAAACATCAGTGAATCATAAAACATTCCTGCATGAATTTCCACATTCATTTCATTTTGGTGGCGTAAATGCACCATAAACCAACCTTGAATGAAACTTTTAAAAAGCAAATTAGATCTACAATTTTGTGGTGTACATATACTGTAAATAAAAGCTTAATAATTATAGAAATGTCATGTGCCCAAAGTTTTGTTTCCCCAAACAGACGTTTCATATAACAATAATCAAAAAAAAAGTAAGGGAAAACAATTCTTTAATATATCAATAAGGATGATCAAGGTTAGGTTATTGTTTCTTTATTCGGGTTAAAATTGAGTCACGAGACTGAATTAAAATATAAATTACCAAAGGTCTTTTTTTTTATTTTTTTTTTATTTGTGCTTGCTGTTTCTTCTCCTGAAAAGAACACTATCTAAAATTTTCCTATTGAATCGCAATTAATCTCTTTTTCTTTCTCATTATTAGACTTATCATTGTTAGACTTATCATTGATCATGCCATATTACAGATCGAACGCGAATCCTTCCCGTCCGATTTGTTGGTATTATGCTAACGGAAATTGTAACAGAGGGACAAGTTATCATTTTTCGCACAAACAAGAAGATACTAGTTCTCAAAGTAATAACGATGGGAGTGGTACACGATACAACTCTAGTAATGGGGAAAGTTCGTTGTATAGGTCGAATTTTAACTCGAACTGTCATCAAAATAAGAGTGTTCCATCGGTTTGCCGTTATTTCTTGGAAAATCGTTGTATGTTTGGAGATTCATGTTGGAATAAACATGACAAACCTGATGACATCATCAATGAAGTGAGCTTTACTAGCACTATCCGTATTCGGAAAAACGACTTGAAAGATCAAAAAAAACAAAATGCAAAAAAGGTTGATGAAGAGGAGTATATATGTGGTATTTGCTTCGAATCTCCTAAAGTATTTAAATTATTTGGATTGCTTGTACAATGCGATCATGTGTTTTGTTTCCGTTGTGTAAAAAAATGGTTCAAACCAATTACAAACAACAATCGTTTTCAAATTGTTGATAACACCAAGACATGTCCCACATGCAGAACTTTTTCTCCATCTTTTGTTGGTTCAAGTCGTTTTGTAAAATCTGGAACTCAAAAGGATCAAATGTTTTTAAGGTTCAAAAAATTTATTTAGAATTTAATATTTTTGTTTTATTTTTTAATCATTTTCTAAATATATATTTTTTCCTTTGAAAGATGTCAAAGATCCCGTTAAATAAATTGGAAATCATGTAGCCAATTCACATAATACGACGGCTCTATTTCTTATTTCATAAAATGTTTTGTATTTGTGCATTCTTTTATTTGAAAATCGTAAAAAAATGTAATAGAACTTGGATTAAGCAAAATTTTATTATACAGAATTTAACAACAATATACAAATAATTTTTTTTTTTTTAATATATTTATTTAATCTTTTCATATTTAAGTTTATCAATTTTCATATTATTATTTTTTACATAATTTCTCACAATAAATAATTTTATTAAAAATCGTTTAAGTGGCGTGTACATCGTACTAGATAATTATAGTTACCAATCATTCTAACACGTTCAACGCAATTAATTCAGACCTATCTGTCATCACTTGATACCTTGAATAAGTGAGAGACTTACCGTAATTGATAATCCTGTTTCCGTAAGTATTATACTCTAATCATTAGCGTGATAGAGTGGTTAAATCATGCTAAGATACTCCCTGAAGATTTCCCTGCTGCGTCTTTTGACTCGTTTCGCTGAAAACCGTTATATATTCTGATAGTTTTCCAAAGCCATTCAGAATTTAAATATCTCTTCGAATAAATCATCTACGCACGGTTAATATAAGAAATAGTTATAGTATATCTCGGTTGTACTTGCCATATCTGTTGAGAATATAATTAAAAATGTAAACACACGCAAAGAGTAAACAGTTAGCAAACCGTTAGCACGTAATGATCATTGTTGATCAAAGGTTCGATTCCAGTTGGGATCGAAGGTGTTCAACCATATTACGACGGTTATTACTTTGTTCTTGTAAAG